CAGTGTTTCAAGTCGCTGCCCGGAGAATCTTAGCTGGGGCTCTGTTCCTTCGATTACGTCAATCCGAGTTGCAGGAAAGGAAAACAGAGGGGTTCGAGCTCGGCATCATGGCAGGCTGTTGTGTCTTCGGGGTAACCTTACGGGTTCCTAGAAGCACAATGGTATGAGTGGATGCGAGGTCCCTGCGAGCGGATTGAGGTCTGCTTTAGGTAGCGTCCTGGCCTGTCGGAGGATGCAGCCTGAGTCCATATGTGTGTGCCGCCGGAAGGGGCATTTTGCTCATGACAGAGGCGGTCCATGCATGTAAGTGTGCTCGTCAACTATCTAGAACAGATTCATTGATGGCAACATTGGACAGATAGGACCCAGCTGTAGGTGCGTAGATTTGACCATGGCTGCCGCAACACTTGATAGCACAGTGGAGTTCGCAGAGCGTGCAAGGAAGCTTAAGCTCCCCGCGGAGGCTTTGCAGGTCTTGAGTGATGCCGGCATCGATTCCTTTGGGAAACTGTGTTTCAGTGTAAGTTCAACCCCTCATAATATCGATGATGCAGTGGTTCAGCGGTGGATGGAAAGGATTTTTGTCCATCAGCCATTGGAGGAGGGTCATAAGACTACCTTGAGAAAGCTTCTCTTCGAGTCACAGGCGCTCACAATTCAGGACTTCAAGCATCGCTTGGAGCCCCCAATCGATCCAATAACAAAGAAGCTCCCCGCTGCAGAGCGCATCTCCATACCGAGTTGACGACCCGTGGCCGTTAGCGTTCGGCTGCCCGTGCATGCGATGAGCGCACGTACGAGACGCATCATCTTTCTCACCTCACCTCACCTCACCTCACCTCACCTCACCTCACCTCACCTCTGCGTCCTGTGCGTTGCTGCTGTCCCAGGCGGGGCCCTGCGCCTCCCGCGCCGTGAGCCTTCTGCCCACCCGCGATGATGACGCCATCTCCAGTGCGCAGTTCCGCCCCTCCCGCTCGCACCACGCGGTACTGGACCTTCTCGGTGACCACCGCGCGGCCTGTGCCACCTCGGGCGTTCTGTCCGCTCGCGCCCTCTCGAGCACGCACGTTCCTGTCTCCGAGCGGCGCATCGAGGTCGTTGCCAACGGCCTCCCCCCTTGGCACGGCTCACAGCTCGTACTTGACGTTTCACCCCTCACCAGCCGCGTGCCGACGTGCAACCGGGATGCGCGGTCGCGGCTGCTGCACGGCACAAGCGCTTCCAGATCTACCCGGATCTCGAGAGCGCCCGGCGCTGTCGACTCGTTGTGGTCGGCATCGAGGTCCGCGGCAGATTCGGCGCCGAAGCAGTGCAGTTCCTGCGGCTCCTCGCACGCCATGGCGCGGCATCGATCCCTGCCCACATGCAACCCGCCGCCGTCTCATCCTGGATCGCGCGATGGTCCCGTCTGCTCGCAGTCGCGGCTCAGCACGCCTACGCGGCGACGCTACTCGAGGTGGCCTCGGCCGCCGAGCTGGGCGAAGGACCCATGCCTGATCTGCATGACGTCCTCGCCGATGCGCGTTGGCACTTCAGCCACGACATCTAACGCGCCATAAGCCCGTAGCCTGCTGCTGCAGAGGGGCCGTGCTCGTACTGGTCGCATAAAAACGAGTGAAGCATAGAGTCCTAGAGTGAAGCATACATTGAGTCATAGAGAGTGAAGTTGACACAGAGTCATAAAGTTTCATCATCACTTTATGTTTATCACCCAATGCACTATGCACGTGACTCGATGTACTTGACTCTATGTACCCGGTGATGGGCAATAGAGGTAGAAAAGGCCGATAGCTCGTTGTAAGATGGTCGCGGCTTGACACCGCTTCAGCAGACAGGAAAAGTCCGTGGAAAAGAAAGTTATGGACTTTATGTGTATCTTCATGTTATGTTTATCGTCACTTCACTCTGTGTTTCTCACCCAATGCACTATGCACTCGACCCTGTTTAACTTGACTTTGTGTTTATCGTGATCTTATGTTTCTTATCTATGTACTTCTTTGGATGGCTTCGTACAGACGTACTACGTTTGTGCTCGAAAACCGGCGTTTGGAGGCTTGGGAACCCAGGAGCATTCCGAAGGCTTCGCACGTACTACACTTGGACTAGAAAACACGAGTGTGGAAGCCTGGGAGCTCCAGGAACCTCTGAAGGCTGTCCACGTACTACCATTGTACAGGAAAACACGAGTTTGGTGCAGGCTTTGTGCGTGCTACGTTTGTACGCGCGAACACGAATAAGCTCCACGAGTCTTCTGAAAGCTTTCCGCGTAGTACGACTCTACTAGTACTCTACTGGAAAGCACCACGCGAATCCACGCAAAGGGTCACCCAAGAACCTGAAAAGTTGCTTCGTGCGCTCGCCTAAAAGTAGGAACTTTACCACACGTTCGTGCACTCGACCACGTCAATCCTCGCAAAGGGTTGCGCGGGACGCTTGACAGTAGCAACTTTACCACACGTTTGTGCGCTCGACCACGCCAATCCATGCAGAGGTTTGTGCGGGACGCCTGGAAGTAGCAACTTTACCTCGCGTTCGTGCGCCCGACCACGCCAATCCATGCAAAGGGTTGCGCGGGAATGTCACAAGTAGCAACTGTACATGGCATTCGTGCGCTCGACCATGCCATTCCACACAACGGGTTGCGCGGGAATGTCAAAAGTAGCAACTACCTCGCGTTCCTGCGTTCGACCACGCCAATCCAAGCAAAGGGTTCCGCGGGAATGTCACAAGTAGCAATCACCTTCGTGCGCTCGACCACGCCAATCCATGCAAAGGGTTTCGCGGGACGCCTGGAAGTAGCAATTTTACCTCGCGTTCGTGCGCTCGACCACGCCAATCCATGCAGATGGTTTCGCGGGACGCCTGGAAGTAGCAACTTTACCTCGCATTCGTGCGCCCGACCACGCCAATCCATGCAAAGGGTTGCGCGGGAATGTCACAAGTAGCAACTGTACATGGCGTTCGTGCGCTCGACCACGCCATTCCACACAACGGGTTGCGCGGGAATGTCAAAAGTAGCACCTGCGCTCGACCACGCCAATCCATGCAAAGGGTTGCGCGGGAATGTTAAAAGTAGGAACTGCCTCGCGTTCGTGTGCGCGACCACGCCAATCCACGCAAAGGCTTGCAATCCCGATCGATGGCATATGCGCCGTCGCGGCTTTACAAAAAAAGATAGATTTACCGAGATGTAGATAGGTCGGGTACTGGATGTACGTCACTCTGTGTACTTGGCTCGATGTACGTGACTGTGTGTACTATTCGTATGTAGTTGGTTCGACGTATTTCACTCTGTGTACTTGGCTCGATGTACTTGACTTTGTGTATCACTCTGAGTACTATGCATGTTGTTCGATGTGCTTGACTCTATGTAGTGTGCACTTGACTCGCTGCACTTGACTCGATGTACTTCACTCTGTGCACTTGACTCTGTGTACTATGCTCTGTGCACTTGACGTGTACTTGATCTTTTGTACTTGTCTCGAAGACTTCGCACGGAAGAACCCTTCGCGATGCTTTCGGGAAGAAAGCCTGGCAGCAAATTCGTGTCCACTCCGTCTGCTGTTGTTGCTGAAAGCGTGGTGTGAGCTGCAAGCTCGCTCTACTGTTGTATTGGCGTTCCGTTGATGGCCCACAGCTTCCTGCGTTTTTATGCATCGAGTGCGGCATTTGGAAAACGCTTTGCGTTGGCCCAACTGGTGTTGGCACTTGAATCAAAAAATGTATTTCTGTGCTCCATCACAATGCATTGTGGAACCGACGGCTTCGGCAGCTTCGGCCTCGGCGACGGCAAACAGCGTTGCGCTCCGGCGCCCCTCCCCTTGGTTTGTGCAAGCTGTCGGGGTTGACATCGCGGCTAAAACGTTATTGGTTGTTTTTCGGAGGCACCGGGTCAGCCTCGGGCATGGAGATGGTTCTTGTCAAGGTGTTTGGCTCCAATGCGATGCATGGCGTAGGACCACTAATGTTGGTAAGTTTTAAGAACCCGTGATGTTGAGCGGAAACACCCAGAACAGGACCCATTCGCTTGCTATGAGCCGGTAAGAGCACTCGCAATCAAGGGCCTTGGCTCCTGGTAGTTTTCATCATGTCCTTGGCCGTGGTTCCGCTTCCCAATAACCTCGAGGTGGTACCCGCGCCGCATACACCTACAGCAAGCCCGCCAACACTGCTGGACGCAGGAGCCCCGTCTGCCGAGGAAGTGCAGCAACCGAAGGGCCAGGAAAGCCACGAGGGCCAAGACGTCTCTTGGTCACCGAGTCTTGCTGGGGATGGGTGGAACTACTCCGAGAACCATCAGTTGCCTGGTGACGATCTCGTCAGCCTCCGCTTCAAGGCTCAGCGGAATTACAAGCCACTGTTGTTTTTGCCTTGCTTGCTGATGTCCTGTGCGACGGACTCACCTTGTGGTTTGCAGCGAGACAAAGCCAGAGATGGAGGATGTCAATGGCATCATCGGTGCTTTGTTGGACCAGGGGGTCATCGGGACGCAACAGCTTCTGGGCAGGATGGTGGTTCTTGTGGTTGCTTAGTCGCCCATGATTCTGGCGCGGGTTTTTCTTACCTGACGTACGAAGCAGAACCAAGGTTACGACAAGCTCGCGAGAAGGAGCTCAACGCCGAGCAGCGACAGAAGACATGGGAGGAGTTTGTTGTCAAGGGTTTCGCCGATGGGGATGTAAAGGAGGTAATGACAACGAGTGACTATGCGAGGCACGCCACAACGAGGTTGTGTGACTATGCAAGGTACAAAATTGGACGACCTATGCCGCGGGAGGCCGCCAGGAGGATAGTGGACCGTGAGCTAGGAGGCTTGGGATTGCAAAGATTCTTGGAGGCCAGGGGCTTGCAGGACGTGCTGAAAAAGCTTGAGGACGCCGAGCTTGAGGACGCCGAGCTCGAGGACGCCTGCAGACGCTCGTGATGCCGCAAGCGGAAGGCCCAACTTCGCACAGGTTTGCTACTGCTAGAGTTTGTGCAAGCCTTGAGGTGCCACCAGAATACCATAGAATACCAGTAGTTCTGTAATTTGAAGTAGGGTCTAGGCTGGAAAGGGCCCTCACCTGAAGCTAAAGATCGCATCAGGCAGGGCCGCCTCAGCCTTCCGAACGTAATGCCAGCCGCTCAATTGTCGGATTCCGCCAAACCTTCAAGTCGAGTGAAGAGGAAGTCTGGGAGGACTTCGCCGATTTGCTTTTGAGTACCAAAAACCAGAAAGAGGCTTCGCGCCGACAAGAGATCACGGCTGCCTTCCAGCTCTTTGCTTTGGGCATTTTGCCCCGATCCACCGCTGCCACGATCGTGAAGAACAATCTCAACAAGAGTGGTGACAGTGGTGGCGTTTTCATTTGTCCTGCAAATCCTGAAGAATATGTTGCCTTGACGCTCGTCAGGGAGCTGAGTGTAACATAGTGTAGCGAAGCACGTGCTGAAGACTTGCTCAGGCTTGCCATAGTAGCAGCATTCCTGTTTTTGAATCTTCCTGCAGCTGTGCGCCAACAGTGTATAACAGCGTGCTTGCGAGGCCCGCTGTGATGATGCGCGAGCAGAACATGCTGGATGACTGGACCGATTTCAATGTCATCAAAGTGAATAGGCTAACGAAAGCTGCTGTGGAGCTCAAGGCTTTGGTTCGCCATCAGATGCACATGATGCGTGAGGCCAGCAGGGTTCAAAATTCGAGCCTCGCAAATGCCATGCTGATCGGCGTGGATGTCCTTCGCTTCTTAATGGGAGCAGACGAGGTAGATGGCGAGGAAATAGGTCCTTTGAGGTTGATCCATGAATTTGATGCGCGGATGGCTCAGATAGAGAATGAGGAGGATGCCAGCGGCTTGCAGGGCCCGGAAGAATTCTTGCTTCAGCGTGCAAAGTTGGAGACAAGACTCCTAGGTGAGCCTGGCACACAGGAAACACAAGATGCTCAAAGCGAGTTTGCACTTGCCCAGCGCCAGTTGGAAGAACATCTCAGTGCAGCCAGGATGACCCAGACTGAAATCTTCAAGCTCTATTGGTTCTGTCCCGTTATTCAGTCCTTCAGGAAGCCTCCGTCCAAGGATGCTGCAGTGGACAAGGGCGCCTGCTGTGGGAGTGTTCGGGCTCATCATGTCTTGGGGGCAATCTTTGGTCTTGGCGGGCGTCTTCGGGCTCATCATGTCTTGGGGGCAATCTTCGGTCTTGGCGGCTTTGCTCTGATGATCTCATTTGTTCCGCATGGTGACTCCTGGGCTCTAGCGTACTACCTGCTGGACAAGCCAGCGCTGCGAGCTTCCCGCTGCATGCAGACATTTTTTACCGACTCCCAAAATCCATGGTGCATCGCTGGCAAGGAAATAACGCTGACCCGGATGACCTTGCCCCCTGTCCACCATGGAATTCCCGACGCTCCTCTTCTGTGGGTATGCCTCGTAGTGAAGGCACTCATCTTCTGCATCATGGGTTCCCTCTTCGGAGTCACCATTATGAAAACTTTGCAGGGGTTGCGGATGGCACAGCATCCGATGAAGATCCTGGATCTGATCCTCAAGCGCTGGATCCATCAGCAGCGGCTTTCAAGTTGGCACTTGGAGGCTTGGAAGATGGCCAGAGCTTCCCTCCTTCACAACGACGTCCGCTTCATCCTGGACAGATTTGAGCAAGTTGTCATGTCATTGTTGTTTGTCTGCGTGCTCCTCATCTCCGATGCTGTGGTCCAGTATGTTGTCTTCAACAAGCCCCCCAACGCCGGGGGAGTTTACTTGACGCTCGTCTTTGCTATCTCAACGTGGCCCTGCATCAATGCAGCGGTCGGATGCCACTATGCGCAACAAAGCCATCTGCAGTCCTTGCTGGAGATGAAGGAGGCAGGCCCACGCGCATGCACCCGACGGCACGCGCTCTTGCTCATGCTATTGCATTCTATTCTGATCCACTATATTAATTGATGCACTCCTTCTTTGTGAGGCTTCTTTGCTGCGCACTGTTGGCCCGGATGTCCAGTATGTCCGGTCGTTCATTGTTGTCATGGTGAAGAGGCTCTCCTCTGGAGGCAGGGGTTTTGCTGCATGAGATTCTGGAGTTGCCTGACAGTGATGTGATGCCGGGAAGGTGATTTCCAGACAACGATGTTCTACATGCCGCTGAACCCTGCGCTTCAGAAGTCTTTGCTGGCTTACTTTGTTGCTGCAGCCTTGACCGTCGTCGGCAAAGTCTTCTTCGGTGAATGACTTCAAGATGCCATGCTGAAAGCACGTCTGAAGGGCGAGTATCACCTGCACAGGCATGTGTGCTGAATGCAAACTCTTGGTCTGTCTTGTTTGGTGAGTACGTCAGTATGCTGAAAGCATGTCTGAATGAATGGCGAGTATCACCTGCACAGGCATGTGTGCTGCATGCAAACTCCCTGGTCTGTTAGTTTGTAGACCTGGAAGGACAAAGTCCCCCAAATATGAGGGACACCTCCATGGGCTCGTCCTGGTTGTGGCCCGAAAGGGTGCAAAATTTCAGGCTTGACATCAACACCTGGAGCTTGGAGCCGCGAAGTGGCCGGTCTCGCCTCTCAGTCATGAGTACTGTCTTGTGGGTCAAGCTCGGCAGTAAGGGC